TGAGGAAAGGCAGAATATGCGTGAAGTGCAGGAGATCCCTTAGGGCGCCTTTTATTACTACCATGCCCTGTTATTAAAGTCAACAGGAAAGTACAACAACCTACTATAGGCAGAGTGACAAATGGCCAGAGCCTTCAGAAATGAAGGGGTGGGTCACTGCACTCTGGAAAGAACCAAAACCTGCCGAGGTGCTTACTGAAGGCCAAGGGAATACAGAATGGGTAATAGAAGGTTGTTCTAAATACCAGCTATGAGCCTGTGATCATAGAAAAGAGGGCTGTAATTGCACCGTTTCTTCCCTTACATGGATCTAATGTAATATAATGTGATAGACATAATATTGGTTCCCTTTAAGGACTATTAAACCTGTGTTATAATGTTGAAGTTATGAAATGGTATGAGGAAGTATCAACCCAAAAAAACTTATGTTCTATTCTTGGAAGGGAATTAGTGTGTTTCCATTTGTACATAGGGTAGTTATAACACATTAGGTGTAATTATGTGCACGTCTTTGTATCTGGAGACAGGTTTACAGAAATGTGTCTCGTTGACAAGTTGACAAGCGGGGGGATTATCGTGGATTGACAACTACTGGTCAACTTGTAACACCCAGCTGAACTGAATCATCCTGGTGCTGGGTGCAGTCTCACCTGAGAACTTCTGCCTACAGCATAAAAAAAAAGAGAACTGGAGAGGAAGTGGTGCTGTGGGTTCTCATGGAGGAGCTTGTTGAGCTTCTTTCCTGATATGAACTTGGCCGTTGTCATCATCAGAGGAGCTCGGGACCTCATTATCACTGAGCATGGGTGTGGTACTTTTCAGGGGAGCTCTGGTCCTTACCTTGAGTGTTGCTTCCTGGCTCCAGTGCAGATCCCTCAGCCTGCTGGCACAGACCCTTCATCCAGCTGGTACAGACTTTCTAGCTTCCACGCTGACCTTTGGGCCTTCCCAGCGCAGATCGATGAAACAGACTTGCATGAGTCATTGTCGTGGGCTCCAGGCCTCCAGCTAGACTCACAGTGGGGCACTGTCATGAGATCCAGGCCCTCAGCTGAGTTCTTTGGGTCTCTAGTGTGTAGAGATTTCCTGTACCCTTTGTATTTGACTCTTTAGGTGACTGTTATAATCCTATGAATTATGTGTCCTTATTAAATTGTTTCCCTTGCAAATCTTGACTACAGCAAGGTGGAAGGACTTATCCCCAAGTTACTTGCAGGCAGCCAGCCATGGTGGTGCACACTTGTAATCTTAGCACTCTGGGAGGATGAGACAGGAGGGTCATAAGTTCAAGTCCAGCTTGAGCAATTTAGTGACATAGGGGGACCTGAAAAAATAAAGGTCTGGGGATGTAGCTTAGTGCAAAGATCCTGGGTTTGATCCCCAATACCAAAAAACGGTGCCCACCTGTTCCAGGACTCCCCACCCCACCACTGGCTGCCCCCCACTCCAGGTGACCTGGTGGGAGGATAGGGAAGTGGGGTGGCCAAGGGGCCCAGCACCCCCTAAAGCTCATGTCCTCCTGCTACTGAGAAGGGGCTGGAGGAGGGTTCCCCTGTCCCCATGAATCTCAACCCTGGAAAGCCATGGTACCCCAGAAAATGCACTGCTCTGGGCAGAGGGCAGCAGCTGCAGAGGTGGTTCCTGAGGAAATGAGGGCACAGGGAGATACTTGGCTTGGGACAGTCTCCTCTGGCCACAGGGGACCTCAGGTGTCCCAGGAGCCTGGCTAAGGACAGCCCTGTCTGCTGTCCCCATAGGTCACCGTGTCTGGAAGTGGTGGAAGAGAAGGAAGTCCACACCCCCAAGGGGGCGGGGATGGGAAAGGCCGCTGGGAACTGCAAAGGCTGCCACCCATCTGCCCTCCCTCACCCTCTTTTCAGAACTGGGCATCGAGCCCAGCACTTTCTCACTGAGCTACATGCCCAGTTCTTTTTTTATGTTTTATTTTGAGACAGACTTTCACTAAGTTGCCCGGACTGGGTTTCCACTTGTGATACTCTTGCCTCCCAGAGTACTGGGGTTGCAGATATGCACCACCACCCCCTGCCACCTGTTCCTCTTATCCCCCAGAATTAGACATCCTGCACCTGCTCCCCCAAAAGTGCTGAAGGGTCCCCCTATGGCACTAAATTGCTCACGCTGGACTTGAACTTATGACCCTCCTGTCTCATCCTCCCAGAGTGCTAAGATTACAAGTGTGCACCACCATGGCTGGCTGCCTGCACCTCTTATCCACGGTACAGGAAGAGCTGGCAAGTCTGACAGGCTCACCCTGAAGCCCAAAAGGGAGAGAGAGCACTGGAGACAGAGAGACAGATGACAGACAGACAGACAGAAACATGGAGGGCACAGGGTTAGAAAGTACGGAAGAGAGGTAGAGAGGAGGAGGATCCCAGGAAAGGAAGGACCAACCAGGCCTGAGACACTATGGCAGGAGTGAGCAGCTCTGAAGCACCCCAGCTCCGAGGTCAGAGTTCACATCCAGAGTCCAGGCAGTGCTGTACTAAGCCCCTTGATCTGGAGACAAGGTCTGGGCGAGGTGCAGGGTTTCTGCCTGGGGCTGGGAGGAGACCAGGTGTACCTGACAGTGGTGCCGGATCCAGGACACAGGGCAGTGAGGGGAGTGAGCACAAAACCCTCACCCCGGAAGTCCCGACACCGAACTAACACTGAGTCAGGACCACTCACCAACTCCACCCCAGGGCCCCTGGACAGTCACCTAAGGGCCCAACCTTGCAGCCTGCCTGCACTGTCCTGAGCCTCTGAGTGCCACCATATTCAGTGTCCTTGGAACCACAGTTGGGGTCATTTAAGGGACCTGTGCTTCACTTATCCTGCAGATATCGCAGGCAGCCAGGAGCAGACAGGGACTCCTTCCAAGAGCTCCTAGGGTATCAAACACAGACAGCACCTAGTGTGACCTCTCCCACTGTCCAAGCAGTCACCCAGAGTGCAGTGGTGACATGTAAACAGAAACTGAGTCAGAACCTGTGCAGGTCAGGAGCAGAGTATCCAGGGATAGAGTCAGCGAGGGGTGTCATGCTTTCTCTTTGATTTGCTGCTTCCTCCTCCTCCTCCCCCACTCCTGTAGTCTTCTTTTTTCATTTTTCGTTTTCATTTTTATTGGTACCAGGGATCAAACTCACGACCGCACACTTGCAAGGCAGGTGCTTATGCCGCTGAGCTAAATCCCCAGCCCCCACTCCTGTCGTCTTCTTCACAGTACAGGGCTTGAACTCAGGGCCTTCAGACTAAGCTATATTCCCTGCCCTTTTTTATTTTGAGACAGAGTCTTGCAAAGTCACTGAGTTTCCCAGGCTGGGCTCTAACTTTCAGTCTTCCTGCTTCAGCCTCCCGGAGTGCACAGATTACAGACATGTACCACCATGCCCGGCTTTCCTTCTTGATAATCCTGACATCAAGGACACCTATTACACAACTTTCAGAGCACATTGTTTGTTTGTACCTGAAATCAAACTCAAGATCTTGTGCTTGCCAGGAAGGCACTGTGCCACTGAGCTATGTCACTGGCCCCTCCTTTGAGCTATTAAACAAAGCTCACAGGCAGATAAGGAGCCTGAAAAGATACCAATCAGTCCCCAACACATGTGCAAACCTCATGTGGCTCCCATCTCCAGCTAGAGAAGGGTCCTGACAAAACAACAGAATGTTTTAACTGCACAGGAAATAATGGTAAACAAAATGATAAAAATGTGAGTCTATCCAGTCACAAGCTTTAAGAATGTACGAAATGGCTGGGTATGTTGGTGCATGCCTGTAATCCCAGCACTCTGAGAGGTGAAGGCAGGAGGATCCCACATTTGAATCCAGCCTGAGCAATTTAGAGACGTGGTAAGATCTTGCCTGAAAATTAAAAAGGAGGCTGGAGATACAGCTCAATGCAAAGGTCCTGGGTTCCAGCCCCACACCCAGAAGAAAAATAAAAAGTGTGAAATGCTCAAAACTAGTTAAAAGGGAGAAAAAAATACAAACGGGAGGATGAACCATAGTAACTTGGAACCTGGAACCATGGCAACTAGGAATATTTGGTTTTTTCAATGCTAGGGATGCAACCCAGGGCCGTTCCCTTGCTAAGCAAGCACCTGACCACTGAGCTACACTCCCACCCTGGAATTCTAGGACCAGTTTAAGCAGAGGATGCAGGAGCTAGGGAGGAGGGAGGTGAGGAGGAAAGTCCCTAACATGGCATCAGGGATCCCTCACTGTCAAGCAATAACCTGCTTCCAGGGGGCTGGGTAATGACCGCATCCAGAGCCCCCGAGGGAAGCCTAGGACGTCTTGGCCTCACCAATCTGTTCACCCCTGATCTGGGACAAGGCCCGCGCCACAGGGCCAAGACAATCTATCTGGTCAGGGGCCCTTTGTGTACCCTCACCCCTGTGTGCAGAGGCCTCTGCCCTAGGAGCCTCTGCTCCAGACGCCCCTCCTTCGTGAGCCGCACACATTCCAACAGTGCCCTCTAGTGGATAACCTCCTCGCGGCACGGAGGTGCATCAATATACCTCCTGGAGCAGCAGCTGGGGAGGGGGGAGCAAATCACAGAAACGGAGAGGGTGTTCCTGAGAGAAATAGGGGTTGAGAGATTTTAGACGCGTTTTCATTGTTGCACTGACTGGCAAAGGCAGGCAAATGTAAGTTGCCCCTTAGTATCCACTCTCTCTTCCCAATATTAGCACAGCCTCATCTAGATCTTATCTACACAGCGATCAGGACAGAGGCTGCATCTCTGAGCCACCTTCATAATGTCAATGACCTTAGAATTACATTCTGGCGGGGGGGGGGGATGTAAACTCAAGTGCTGTGCGTGTCTTTGATATCAAGGGCACCGTGCCACCTCCGCATGGCCAAGTTGTGGGTCTCTCTTGTGTAAAATTTCTATTTATTTTCTTTAAGCCACTGTTTGTTTGTTTGGTTTGGTTTCATATAGCTGAGTAAAATCTTAACCAATAAACAGAGGAGGTGAGAATACTTTTTGTTAGCAGGGAGAAACAAGAACTACAAGAGAGGTGGGGGTTCTCTGAACCAGCAGAACCCATAGCAGATAGCAGATGCAAGATCATCGATTCCTGAAAGGCCAGAAGCAGCATAAGAAGATTGCAAGAATCAAAGGCACCCCTGGGGAGCCATGCAGGGTGAGACACTGAGGATGTCAGGAAGTGACAACGAATCTATAGGGGAAAGGTGTCCTGGTGATGCTGGCTTGACCGCTGTGTGACAAAAGGCTGGGGAAACTCAGCAAAAGAAAGAGTGTGCTTGGAAATCCTGTTTCTATGAGCAAGGTCACAGTCTTATCCATCTGGTGTCCCACAGCACCTCCTGCTGACCTAGGGAGGTCAGTGCTGAAGGACCCGGGGCCACCCAAGCCAACATTTCTCCTCCTGTGGCCCGAGCTCAACCTCTTGGCAAAGAACTGAGGGTCACACCCAACAGCAAACAGACCAGCCCCTCTGCAGACCCTTGTGATGTGACACACTCTCAAGTCCAATCCATCATTTGGCACGTGGGGAAACTGAGGCCTGCACAAAGAGTGCAACTCTCCAGAGATCTCACTGACAGCAGCCCTGGGCAAGTCCATGGAACCCCGTGGATCTCCTGACATCTGCGCTTCTTAGCCTGGCTCTTCTGGACAGCAAGAGTAGGGTGCACTACAAATGTAAAAACCCTCAGAGATGAGGACAGCAGCTTCACGGCCTCCCCCTCCTCAGAATCCTGGGACAAAATGCAGGCTCAGGACACACAAGTTGGCTCTGGGCCACCAGTCAGAGGTGGAGCAGCGGACCAGGGCTCCCTGCAGGTGGACCCCAGCTGCCCCTGTGCTGCAGACACTCTGCCCTTCAGGTTTCCAATGTGCAGCTCTAGCCTAACGCTCCTGGGTGCTTGGACACTATCCCTAAGTGTCAAGCGTCTTCGAAACCCCACTGCCCTTTCCCTCTCCTGCTTGCTGCTTCTTGAAGCCTCCGAGAAAGGAACTAAAGAGTCCCACAGAAACCACCTCATGGATGCCAGTCCCACCAATACCAGCAGCTGCCTCTGTCCCAGCTCTCCGCTCCAGGCGCTGCTGACATCTGGGCACCATTCCCATTGGCTAAGGCCACTAACCCCAGCCCAGCTAAGTATAGTCTGCTCCCTGGGGGATTCCTGCCCACCCTGGTGTCCTGTCCTTGACTCCAGCATCACATCCTGGACCTGGACCTGGACCAACAGTGACCTGTCCCCTGAGTCTGTCCTGTCTTTCCACTTGCTAAGCTATCGTTAGCCAGTGATAACCCTGGGCAATAAGCTGTCCAGGCCATCTCCACAGAAACTTATGGTCATAGAGATTAGGTGACAGGCCTGTCCTACAACTGGCTGTCTTGGAGTGACAGAAGGGCAAGACTCTAACATTAGCAGGGCCTTAGGGCTCCAAATTCCACAGCTTCTGCCTCATGCTTTCTCACCGTTTGTTTGCACCTTGCTAATAATGCATAATTACTACTCCTGCAGCAGCGCCTAAACCGTTTCCAACCACAGCCCTGGCCCTTAGGCCTGCTCTTTAGTAGGTGACACGGTCTAGCCAGCACGGAGTCCTCGAGGAGGGGTCCAGGACGCAAAAAGGCAAACGCAGGGGACCTCGATGTGGAGGACAGAGCCTCGGGGTGCCTGAAAAGGAGAGCGCGGAGACCAGGGAAATGACAGCTAGGGGGGTGCATCTCCAACGTTCCCTCCCACCACCCCTATCCCCGCACCGCACCCAGACTCCGAAGTCCGAGAGGCTGTCTTTGGTGCCATCTAGCGTCCACCTTCAACGAGCGCTGAGCGAACCTGGCGCTAATTGTCCCCGCCTGTATATGCCAGGCCTGCGGGCATCCGTTCCCGCGCAGCAGGCGGGCTAGGGAATCTCCTGGTTTGGAGAGCTAGGAACCGCGCGTCCCAGGGCCGGGATTTACTATGGATTGGAAAGGGCGCCACCGTCTGCCGCGAGTCCCCGAAATCTCCGACCTTCGCTCCTTGCCGGTGGCGGACGCATGCTTGGAGCTTGGAGGGGAGCGGGGTCGCCAGAACGAGCATACGAGCGCGTCCCCGCACGCCCACGCCGCGTCCCGCATCACTGCGCGCGAACGCGCACGCACGTCGCGACGCTCGCCCATGCAGACTGGTCTCCCACAGCTGCCTGGTGCACCGACCCCGTCGCCCCCCGCGGGTAGACCTTTTGCGCCCTGAAGTCTTGTGGGTGCAATTCTGCACACTATTCCTGGCGTCCCTTCGGGCGCGGGGACGCCGCCGTGGCACCACTCTCCCCATGGGTAACCCCTGGAGGGTGGGGTGCGGGGGCTCTGCGCGGCTCTGGCTACTCCGAGCTGGTGAGGGGGATGGGTTGGGGGGAACGCAGAGACCAGGCCGCTCCCACCTGCTGGCCGCTGCGACCAATGAAAGCTTGGGCTGGTGATGTCATGCCCCTGCCGGACCTTGGTGACGAAGTCCGAGGTCACCCGTGAAGGAACCAGTGGCGCAAGCCCACCCGCGGGGCTTCCGGAAGTTTCCACTGCTGCAGCCTCGCCCCACAGCCTTGCGCGCACCTCTGGCCTATCTTCTCAGATGTCCCCGTGTCACCCCCTCCTCCCCATGGGGTTCTCCATCCTCCATGGGAGCTCCCTTCATTTGCCCCTTGAGATCTCATATTCCCATCTCCATTCCTACAGGTGTCTCCTCATCCCCAGGCATATCCTACGTCGTTTGCACCAACCGTGGCATCCTGAGGGGGTCCTCATCCCCACTTTCACGTGTCGCTCCACCCACGCCACCCCTGACTGTGTAGTGGCTAGAGATGCTCATTTATTCGGCTCTTGCTCTAACTTCCCGGCTTCCACCGAGGCTGTCCCTGTGTCCTCCGTCTGTGAAAGTCAGTTTGTCTGTGTCTGTCACTACAGGAGACTGTCTCCTGCCCGCGTGTGCCTCGGTCCGTCTGTCATCTGGGTATCTGCCCCACCAGTGCGGGTCTTTGGGTCGTGTCCATCTGTCTGGCAGTGTCTGTCACAGTGCATCTGGGCCCCGGGGTCCCGGCTCGGAGGGAGGGACGTGGAGGGGAGGTGGCGACCCGGGGAGCGGGCAGGGCCGGGGGCGGAGACTGGGCGGGGGCGGGCGGGGGCGCCGCGCGGCCCGAGGGGTGTGTGCGGGGGGCCGGAGGCGGCGGCTGTCGCAGTCGGCTCAGCCTGCGCCGGGGAAGAGCGGCCGCCTGCAGCTCCCGGCGCACCCCGGCCCAGTTCGGCCGCCTCAGGTGAGTCCTCTGCCCCGCCCGGGACCCTCCCTGGCCGGCGGCCCCTCGGCGCCACGGGAATCGCGTGTTCCCGGAGCGATGTAGGCCCTCAAAAGGGGCGCCCAGCGCGCCCCTCGCCGCCGCGTACTCCTCCGTAACTCTCCTCGGCCGCCGCGTACTTACCCACTCCCCGCGGGGCCAGCTGTCGCCACTCCACCCGCGTCCCTGCAGAGACCCCAGAGATCCCCTTCCCCACTGCCCCCCGAGACTGGGGACTTTGGTAGACGACCCCTGTTTGGAGTGGAGCCCAAATTGCGCAGGTTCTTGGCGCCTGGCTGCATCCCAGACGCTCGTAACCAGGGCCGCGACCCCTGCGCAGCGTCCAGCCCAGGCCCCTCTGAGGCCCAGGAACTCCCTCCCTAGGAGACACCGTCTCTTTCTCGCTCTCTCTCTCTCTCTCTTTTTTTTTTTTTTTTTTTTTGGAGTTGGGGGGAAGGGGAGGCTCAGCGGAAGCCCCGAGTTATAATTAGCCCCACTCGGGTTTCCTAGTTAATCTCCAGCAGTACCAGCACCCCAGCTCATAGCGTCGGAGACTGGGTGAGGGGTAATCGCCGGGAGGGGGCGGGGGGAGTTCCGACCTGGGGAATTTTGATCCCTTGGCTGGAGATGCCGGAACCACAGCAGCTGCTGCCCCAAAATAGCGTCCTCGCCCCTACAGCCGGGGATCTCCAGAGCTCCTGGAACACTGGCGTCCTGGCTTGCCGTTCAGGTTCTTCTGTGATGCCCGCGAGCCCCTAGACCCCCACCCCAAGTTCCCGGCTCCGGGTCTCGGGGCGGGGAGAGCCTTTCTCTCCTCAGTCTCTACTGCCCCCCGCTGGCGACGGCGTGCACTGCAACGTCTGTCGCGCCGGGGCTCTAGACTGGGGGACCATGGCTAGCATCCAAGTGGGCTAGGCCTTCGTCATATCGGGTAAGGGGGGCGGGGTACAGAACCACTGATAGGAACCGGCGGGTACCAGAGCTCAGAGCCAGACAGCAAAGGAGGCGCTGAAGGGTGTGGCGCATTGTGGAGGAGACAGGATTTAGGGTACCCCAGGACCTAGGGCTCCCACACTTGAATGCCCAACCCACTCCCCCAGGGCCCTGGCCCTGGCCAACCAAGGAAGGACAGCTGTGCCTTGAAGCCGTTTCAAGCTCTCCCAGTGGTGCCACCCAACAGCGAGGGCCCCGCCCCTGTCCCGTGGCCCCTGCGTGGACTGCGGTCTCTGGTACCCGCACTGCATGCACGGGGCCCAGCCTAAGCTATAGAGCAAGGGGACAAGGTGAGGGCAGTGGGCCCTGCGGGCAGGGGAGGGTATGCCTTGGCGCGTCTTATCTCTGTGCATCTGTCTGGGGTGTGCACCCGCCTGATCTCTGTCCCCTCTTGCCTGCCTGCCTGCTGGTGACCTTGCCTCTGCCTGTCTTCTTCCCTCCCTCTATTTCTCTCCTCTTGCCAACCTGCCCCACCTCCTCTGCAGTTGGGAGATAACCCTTGGGCAAGATTGTTACCTAATCTTCTCCCTCCTTGCTGCCTCCAGCCTTCACTCTGCTTTTCTTTCTCTCAGCAGACGCCTGCCTGCTCTGGCAGCCATGAGGCCCTGGTGGTGTCCCCAGCACAAGACCTCCCTGGCCTCCCCACTCCTCTTCCTCTTCTCCCTCCTGGGAGGAGGAGTGGGGGCTGAGGGCCGGGAAGACCCAGAGCTGCTGGTGACAGTTCAAGGGGGCCGGCTGCGGGGCATCCGCCTAAAGGCTCCTGGTGGCCTTGTCTCCGCTTTTCTGGGCATCCCCTTTGCAGAGCCACCTGTGGGCCCCCGACGCTTTCTGCCACCAGAGCCCAAGCGGCCCTGGTCAGGGGTGCTAGATGCTACAACCTTCCCTAGTGTCTGCTACCAATATGTGGACACCTTGTACCCCGGTTTTGAGGGCATCGAGATGTGGAACCCTAACCGTGAGCTGAGTGAGGACTGCCTCTACCTCAACGTATGGACACCATACCCTCGGCCTGCATCCCCTCTCCCTGTCCTTGTCTGGATCTATGGGGGTGGCTTCTACAGCGGGGCCTCCTCCCTGGATGTGTATGATGGCCGCTTCCTGACACAGGCAGAGAGGATAGTGTTGGTGTCTATGAACTACCGGGTGGGAACCTTTGGCTTCTTGGCTCTGCCAGGGAGTCGAGAGGCACCAGGCAATGTGGGTCTGCTGGATCAGAGGCTGGCACTGCAGTGGGTGCAAGAGAATGTGGCAGCCTTTGGAGGGGACCCCACATCAGTGACTCTATTTGGGGAGAGCGCAGGTGCAGCCTCTGTGGGTATGCACGTACTGTCCCCCCTCAGCCGGAGCCTCTTCCACAGGGTTGTGCTGCAGAGCGGCGCACCCAATGGGCCCTGGGCCACAGTAGGCATGGGAGAGGCCCGCCGCAGGGCCACTCTGCTAGCCCGTCTTGTAGGCTGTCCCCCAGGCGGCGCTGGAGGCAATGACACAGAATTGGTAGCCTGCCTGCGAACACGGCCAGCTCAGGACTTGGTGGACCACGAGTGGCATGTGCTGCCCCAGGAAAGCATCTTCCGGTTTTCCTTTGTGCCTGTTGTGGATGGAGACTTCCTTAGTGACACGCCTGAGGCCCTCATCAATGCTGGAGATTTCCACGGCTTGCAGGTGACTGACTAGTGGTTGGCAGGGGTGGAGATGGTTCCTAGGGGTTTGGCTGTCCCTCCCCCGTCAGGGACCCTGCCTGGGGCTCCTGCAGATCCACTCTCAGAGGTCCAAGCTTAGGATCTTGGCCATCTCCCTCCCCTGAGTGTAAAACCCAGAGTAGTCATGGGGCAGAGGGGGAAAGAGTGGGTATATTTTCCTTCTCTCTGTCCCTTCCCCAGTCTCCTGCTCTCTTCCTCTGTAGTTCTGGATCTGTAACTGTGTACCTCTCTGGCTCTTTGTCTGTCTGTCTCTTTGTCTTCTTGTCTGTCTGTACCCTGTCCGTCCTGTCCCTCCCCTTCCCAGGTGCTGGTGGGTGTGGTGAAGGATGAGGGGTCCTATTTTCTGGTTTACGGGGCCCCAGGCTTCAGCAAAGACAACGAATCTCTCATCAGCCGGGCCCAGTTCCTGGCTGGAGTACGCATCGGAGTCCCCCAGGTGAGCGACCTGGCGGCTGAGGCTGTGGTCCTGCATTACACGGACTGGCTGCATCCTGAGGACCCAGCACGCTTAAGGGATGCCATGAGTGCTGTGGTGGGCGACCACAATGTCGTGTGCCCAGTAGCCCAGCTGGCTGGGCGACTAGCTGCCCAGGGCGCCCGAGTTTATGCCTATGTCTTTGAACACCGTGCCTCCACGATCACCTGGCCCCTCTGGATGGGGGTGCCCCACGGCTATGAGATTGAGTTCATCTTTGGACTCCCCCTGGACCCTTCGCTGAACTACACCATGGAGGAGAAAATCTTTGCCCAGCGGATGATGAGATACTGGGCCAACTTTGCCCGCACAGGGTCAGCAGGGATGGGGTGGGGAGGGCACACAGTGAGGAAGGGAGGCAGGAGAGGAAAGGAGACAGAGTGAAAGAAACAAAGGAGAGACAGAGAAAGGTGTGAGGCAGAGTGGGGACCCCCTTAAGAGTCAAGGACAGGGACAGAGGAAGACAGAGATAAAGACAAAGGAGATCCAGTAGTTAGGAGAGGGTTGTAAAATCAAGTTGGACCAGCAGTGATTTATATTCTTTCTCGCTTTCTCCCTTTGTTTTTTCTGTCTAAATAAAGGGGGCAGTAAATCTGGCATCAGACTGGGGTTGCCCAAAGTAGAAATGATGCTCGCTGAGACAGCTGTGCCTGAATTACACACTTTTCGACTCAATCAAAAGTAGCCCTTTTTTTGTATGCTTGTTTTGGTTTTTTTTTTTAATGGAAGGAAAACAGATAAAGACAGGAATAGAAAAACTGAGGCAAAGGAAAAAAGAGAGAGTACACAGGAGGAAAGGGGAAACTCCTAGGTGAGACAGGACACTGGAGAAGAGAAAGAACTGGAATCAGGCTGCATGACTGGGAGGTCTCCATGGGGCTGCAGAAGCCCCAGGGTTAGGAAGGGGACACATCTGCCGTGTCCTCATCTCCATTCCCCATTCGTCTGAGCCCCGCAAGCCTTTGCATGGAGCTGAGCCTTGCCTCTCCCTTCGCAGGGACCCCAATGACCCGCGCGACGCCAGGGCCCCTCAGTGGCCCGCATACACGACAGGAGCGCAGCAGTACGTGAGCCTCAACCTGCGGCCGCTGGAGGTGCGGAGGGGACTGCGCGCCCAGGCATGCGCCTTCTGGAACCGCTTCCTGCCCAAATTGCTCAGTGCCACCGGTACGCGGAGAGAAAAGGGGATGCAGGAGGGGAGGAGGAGCTGGCCGGGTGTAACCCTCTCTTCTTCCCCCAGCCTCCGAGGCTCCCAGCACCTGCCCAGGCCCCGCCCATGGGGAGGCTGTCCCGAGGCCCAGGCCTGGTCTACCCCTGTTACCCTTTCTCCTCCTCTTCCTGCGGCGGTGACTATAGCCTCTTGTCCCCTCCTCTAAAGCGTGGCCAGACTGTGGGGAAGGGCGCTTCTTAGGGACCCAGAACCCCCTCCTACACACACACACTGGACAGGCCTCAGGGACTTACCTTTGTTTAAATGGAAATGAAAAAGCAATTTAAATTTTTTATTTTTATACAATTATCCTTTGGAGCTTGATCCTGATGTTGGGGGAAAAGGAAGGACCTGGGGCTGGATAGCACCTCACAGTGGGCTACAACCGTCAACCATTTCTGCTTCTTTCTCTTTTTCTCCCCACCAACCCATTCCCTTCTGTTTCCATCCGTGTGGCTCTATCTTCCGGTCACTTCCTCCTCCTGTCTGCTTCTTGCCATCCTCCTCCGGCCCCGCCCTTTCCCTCATCCTGCCTCTGCCGTCTTGCCTACATTCTCCTGATCCTCTCTCCACTATCCCACGTGGCCCCCTTCACCCGCCCCGTGTGTCGCCCCTGCGCTCACGCCCCTCCCTGTCCTCTGTGCGCCTCCTCCCGCCCCGCCGGGCTCCCGCCGCAGACACGCTGGACGAGGCGGAGCGCCAGTGGAAGGCTGAGTTCCACCGCTGGAGCTCCTACATGGTGCACTGGAAGAACCAGTTCGACCATTACAGCAAGCAGGACCGCTGCTCAGACCTGTGACCCCGGCGGGACCCCACGTCCTCAGGCCCCGCCCGCAGCTGTATATACTATTTATTGAAGGGCAGGGATATAACAGACGAGTCCCAGACCCTGCCCGTCTGACCCTGACTTCCCTCCGGGGCTCCTCGTCCTCTGCATGTCTCGGGCCGAGCACCCCCCTTCACCCCGCGGTGCCTTCGCCCCTCTGGGCTGCCAATAAACTGTTATAGCCACCGGAGTGCGCGCTACTGGGAACGGGGGCGGGGCGCCGGGATGGAGAAGCAAAGGCAGTGCAGGTCTAGGGGCTGCAAGTAGGATCAGCCCAGTCCAAGGAGCCTTTGCGCCTGCGCGCTCGAGAGCCGCCAGGTCGAACACCGCCCCATGGGAGAAGAGCCCGCGCCTGCGCAGTGAAGCCAATAGGCGGGCGGGCAGTGCATTATGGGAGCCTAGTGGTCGCTGTATCTGTGTGGCACTAACTCAGTGCTGCACTAATTTCTGACACCCCCGGAGAAAGTGCCACAGCCCAGCACACCCTTCCTGCCCGCAATTGGTAGAAGACCGGGGTCCGAGAGGAAGCGCTGCAGTTCCCGCCGCCCTGGAGCTGCTTCAGGACGTGCACCTGGGCCTGGTCCCACCGCGCCGCGGCCCTGCCCGCCTGGCTGTCCTCTCGGGCCACTACCTCTACTATCACTATGGCTGCGACGGGCTGGATGACCGTGGCTGGGGCTGTGGCTACCGCACGCTGCAGACGCTGTGCTCGTGGCCAAAGGGCCAGGCCACGGGCGTGCCTGGACTGGACGCCGTGCAGGCAGCCCTGGAGGATATGGGCGACAAGCCCCGCGGGTTCCGGGGCTCCCGGAGCTGGATCGGCTGCGTGGAGGCCAGCCTCTGCCTCGCGCACTTCGGAGGACCCCTGGGGCGCCTGTGCCACGCACCCCGTGGAGCGGGTCTTTGCGGTGAGCTGGAGAGGCTTTACTCTCACTTCGCGGGGGGCGGCGGCCCTGTGATGGTGGGAGGGGATGCCGATGCCCAAGCCAAGGCCCTGCTGGGCGTCTGCATGGGGCCAGACACCGAAGCCTACGTCTTGATACTGGACCCTCACTACTGGGGCACTCCGAAGAACCCTAGGGAACTACAGGCTGCAGGGTGGGTGGGCTGGCGAGAGGTGAACAGCGCCTTTGATCCCTGCTCTTTCTACAACCTGTGCCTAACCAGTTGTAACTTTGAAAAGCATCAGCATACCCAGGACTGAAACTGTTTACTTCTCAAGTGTCCCAGCAGAGAAGAGGGAACTTCATAATAATAAAGTGTCCAGGCCCAGCTAACCATGGCCCCAGCTGATGTTTGGGAGGATATGAAAAGGTATACAACACACCCAACTTCGGATTTAAGAGTCACTACTTTAGTGCTTTTATTGGCAGTAAGCTGTTCGTACAAAAAAGTTCTCAGCTGACGAGACAAGGCAGGAAGAAGTATAGAATGGAGGAAAGTGGACGGCTCAAAAGAAATCCACATCATCTGGGGCATCCAGGTCCCGATACTCCACAATGGCCCTTGGGTCTCCTCGAACCATCCTGCAAGAGCAAAGGTGATGAGACCTGAGGGCCCTGTGCGCAGGAGGCAAAGGGCTTGGACATCTCACCCAGTCTCACCTGCTGCGTGGTTTCCCAGGATAGCCACCCTGGCCTCGAAAAGCATCATAGTTCCCTCTGCCAGCACCATATGGGGCATGCGGATATGGAGGGCCTCCTGTGGGGACTGCAGGGCGCACAGCACCAGCTGTGAACAAGACCAGTGTTCAGCCCGTTTCCTTCTAGTACCAATCACCAAGCCCTCTCAGCCCTGCCCACACTTACCTCCATAGCCCAAAATAGGAGGCCGGGGCTGGCCATAGGGCATCAGGCCCTGGGGAGTCTGGTGTGGGTAGGGGAGTCCCGGAGTCAGACCTGGGGGGAGTACAATACAGACAGGGACATGAATTACTGCGGGGGGGGGGGGGGGGCGCTTCTAAGGAGTGCAGCCACAGTATGTGGTAGAAACTTGTAAGAGATGACATGTTAAAAAAAGGAATACTGCATAATCAAAAGATGCACCAGACCCCCATACCCTCATGGATCGTATCTTACTCTGGGCAGGGCCAGGGGGTTGGGCCGGCTTGATCTCTGGCAGAGCTGGGCGTTTGGCATCCGTGAGGAAGTTGTTAAAGAATGCTACTTCCTTCTTTACCTCCTCAATCTTCTCTGCATGTTTGTTGAAGATATGTTTGCGCACAAATTCAGGACCCTGAGTAGAGAGGAAATGATCAAGACGGAGCAGCAAGTAATGTGGGCTCCCCCAATCCGACCCAATCTGGAGGGGGACAGCCTCCCTTCGGTCAAGCCCCTGGCATCTTCCCCCCCAGGCCTTTAGGTGGCTTCAGGCCCCAGCCCTGCCTCCCACCATTCTCACAGGCCAATTCTCTTAACATCTCAGACCTTGAACTTCTTGCCACTGAGAGGACATAGCCACTTATCCTTGCCCAGTTCCTGGGTATTGGATGTGACAAATTTTTCCACTTCCTGCTCAGGATCTTTGCGGCCCATCTTCTGGGCCTCTTCCTCAGAGAGGGATTCCCGCACACTCAGCAGTGGAGTCAGCTTCTCCTCAAAGGTCTTCTGCCACTCTAGCACTGTGGTGGGAAGCAGAGAAAGGCAGGCTGAAAAGGGACAGGAGAGGGTGGCAGAGTTCTGCCAACAAAGACCAGCAAAAGCTGGGAAGAGCGCACACAGACAGGGTCTCAAGAACAGGGAGCGTGGGCGGGCACCTTCGCCATGACTGATGCGGTTGGGAGGCATGGGCCCCCGGACGTGGATGATGCCACAGCGATTTGGCATCTCGTCCTCATTGGGGTACTCGCAGGTGTTGTAATAATCGAGGGAATGCACGATACGCAGATAGAGGAGGAGCTTGTCCAAAACCTAAAGAAACAAAAGCCATGGGTCCCCTCTCTGGCCCCTTGACTGTATCTATGTCCCTCCAAGCCTCATGTTCACAGGTGGGCTTTGGAGAGGTGATCAGATCACGTGGGTGTGGTTCTCAAGAATTACACCACTGCCGAGTTTATGGCTAAACGCAATTTAAGGGCTGAAGCTGGTGGCAGGTGGGTCACTGGGGCAGTGACTGGGAAAAGTCTATCTCCCTCCCCCTTCCCTTGATCTGCCTGTGTGTGTCTCTCTCCTTCAACTATCCTCCTCTGCTATGCTGCCCTGCCTTGAAGCCAGCTATGAAACTGCTACAAGTAACTAGGGCCAGGTGTGGTAGCACACATCTGTAATCCCAGCACTTGGGAGGCTGAGGTAGGAGGGTAGCCTCAGGTTCAAGGCCAGCCTGGGCTACACGTGAGACCCTGACTCAAAAGGGGGGGAAAAAAAAAAGTAACACATCCTTTCACCCCCCACAAAGCCATGTTTCCCATCCCCACTGCAAGGTAACAGCTGGCACCTTGATCAGCTTCTCATCCCGCTCCACATTGATCTCTGCTGGGTTCCCTTCCTTCGGAGGCTCCTCGGGGGGAGCCCCCCCACTGCTCCCCAGCAACTCCTCTTCCTCAGCACTCACTTCCTCGATTAGGTAGTCAGTGATGTTCTTCAGGATTGGGTTCTGTGAGGGCAGACTCTGCTGTGGGGGGAAAAGGCAGAGGCAACGTCCCCTCAGGGCAGGAACCTGTCACCACCACAAGTGAAGGCAGGGGAGAGGAGCAAGGCTCACTTGATGCGAGGCTCATTTGATGGAACTGTCACCTCTGCTGTCACTTGTACTTGCCCCACCCCAGCCCACAGATTCTGGTATATTGTAGTGGAAAACAGAGGTGGTGCACCCAGAGAAGCACAAACAAGTGAGGTGGTGGGTAGGCAGAAGGGGGCACTGACTGTCAAAGAGCAAGTGAGGTCAGGGGTAAGAGTACAGATGGTGGTGTCGGTTGCTTTGGAAATGGTCCCCCAGGGAGTCACTGACTGTTGGCAGAGGAGGTGTCCCTGGCTCAGAGGCCCAGAGCTGGGTCCTGTCATCCAGCGTGTGGACCAGTTTGGCCGCCAGCTTGATGTCATTGCGCACTATCTGCTTGTGCTGGGTAATGCCATTGATGTTGCGCACACGCCTGGTCAGGTCTCTGTTCACACCTGGGCTCAGCTCACACTCACGGAGCTGCAAGGAAGATAAAATCAGAAAATTGGCCAGCTGGACATAGTGGCAGACACCTGTTTTCCCAGCACTAGGGAGACTGAGCAGAAGGATCTCAAGTTGGAGACCAGTCTGGGAAACATAGTGGATTAAAGGACAGCCTGCACTACATAGTGAGACCCTGTCTCAAAAAACCAGAGAGGGAAAAAACCAAAAGAAATAAACTGAACATCAACTGCAACAGCAGCTCACAGACTGAAAACCACCAGTGACTTAAGACTGTGAGCTCCTTCAGGACAGGGACCACAAAAGTCCTGCCTCAGACAGGATCAGACAGTTAACATGAGCAGAGTAACTGCATGAAAGTGGACAGAACACAGGGACAAGGGAGTCAGAAATCATAGTGGAGACACAGAGCCATGTTTTCTCTTCTTTATAATCCCACTCCCAGCACTCACTCGGATATTCTGCAGGTTCCAACAGATCTCTTTAATGTTAACGCTGCGGTCAAAGGTCACCCAGCCACGACGGAAAAACCTACAGGAGAAAGAAAGAACATCGCTGTTCCTGGATGGAGGTGGTGTGGGCCATTAACCAATCCCCTCGAACTGCAGTACACAGTTCCTTACCTCCTCTCAGGCTGTGGCTCTGACAGTGCCACACGCATGAAACCTGGGTATCTTTTACAAAGCTGCAAGGAGGAGGGAGAACAGAAACTCCATTCAGTAATTCAAAGAATCACTCCTTCCTCCAGCCCACTGGGGCATTTCATTTTAACCCTATCCTTGGGCAAGGAAAAACCAACAAAGGGCTTAAACACCCCAACACTTCATAGACAGGATGCAAGCAGTCTTGAAAAACAGGGGCCCATGGGAAAGGGACTGTTTAGGTAACATGCAGAACCACACTGCCTTTTCTCCATACCCCAGGATGGCTGCCCAATACATTTCCCAATACACTCACAGAGATGATCTCAGCCCGGGAGATGTTGGGCGCAATGTTGCGCATGAAGAGGGAGCATGTCTTATGCAGAGGCCGGGGCTTACATTCCAGCCCTGTGGCATCTTTGGGCTTCTCCCTTTCCTCTTCTTTAGGCTTCTCCTTCTCCTTAAGTGCTTCTTCTATGAGGAAGTGGTAGGAGTTGGTGAGGTTTTAGTATTGATTTTCGTGGGGCAGGCAGAAAAGCTGTTACTGACCCCCAAACCAGTATCGTCTCCCCACAAACTTAACCAACCTTCCCCTTCGCCCCATCCTTATGCAGCCTACCTGTCTCTTCTTTGTCCTCCTCAGCTTGGCCACTCTCAGACTCAGACTCAGACTCAGACACACTGCCCTCATCAAAGCTGTCGTCGCCACTGTGCTTCCTGTTCCGCTTCTTGCTACTCTGTGGGAGCCACAGTGGAGGAGCTGAGTAGGGTAACCCTGGCCCCTGCCTGAATATTGGCCCCATGCAAGGGACACCTTACCTTTTTAGCTTCCTTTTCAGAGTCTTCTTTCTTCTCTTCCTTGTCCCCATTACCCTCAGATTTCTTGGTTTTGTCATCATTAGAGCTGTCATTTTCTGCCTGCAGGTTGAGCCCGTCACTGGGGATGTCTCACCTCCCCTACCTTTACCAGAGCTCCCTCCAGCAGACCTGAGTTGCACCTCCCCCGCCCCCACAGCGCCCTCTAGCTCCAGCTCCTCTGGATCCCACCAGTCTGACCTGCTTGCCATCTTCCTTCTTGTCATCCTTATCACCAGCCTTGCGTTCTCCATCACCCAGGCCTGCTCCAGCCCTGCCTTCTTCTTTCTTACTGGGCTCTCCAGGCTTTCCCGCCTGTTCGTCCTCCTCCTCCTGCTCCAGGATACGTAGATCATTCTCTGTGCCTCCTTCCATCTTAATCACAGCTACTCACAAAGACAGCAAAGAACATCATCAAGAGCCCAGCTTCTGTCAATCTGCTTCCCCTTCCCAACCAGGATCATGGTCACCTGAGCACCTCCACCTTCCCCAGTCCACACACCCGCATCCAGCATCTTGACAATGGCATCGGCTCGGTCTATGTCCAGGAGAAGATTATCAAACCAACCACTCTCCATGAGGGACAAGAACACTCTTAGTCGGTTTTGCAGGGCCCCTCGGGCTTCCTGCCGACGCTTCCCCACCTCATCTGGGTGGTACTTAGA